GCCTGGATGAGAACAACTTTTGGGAAAGCAAGGCTATGTGAAATCCAATGGAAAACGTCAGTTTAACTCATATCATTGTGGGAAAATTCTACCACCAGTCCTTCATCACCTTACATGAAATAGGGTCAATACATCTTAATACATTTACTGGTTTTACCATATCTTTGGTGGTGCTTACACGAATGATTTAACTAAAAAAGAAACGTAAACTAACGAAACAACCAACACGAAAACCAAACTCTGACTTTGTCAATTGTGCGATGATTGAGGACGGTCAAACGAGGCAACAGAGATTGGCAAACGAGCATATAAACGTGACTCGACAGACAGCTGCAACTGACGCCTGATAAATTGCAGATAATTTGGATACAGTCAAGTGAAAACCATTAAGTAACAAGTAACATCAACGCAAAACTGTGCGTCGAACAAGAGCCTATGGCTGAGGCAAACGAAGCGAGCACCAGCTCAGCTTGAGGGTCTCGGCAGGCAGAGGGCTCCTCGACGTCTGGCGCATCGGCCTGCGTCCCGACGTCTCTGGTCCACCAGCCCGACTCGATGCAGGCATCGTGGCGGCTTTTCGAGACGTCTGGATCAGGAGCCAGGCTCGGCGTATTCAACCTCTGTTGCTTAGCCGGTCGGCTGGCCCCCGAATCCCCTTTATTCCCCATTCTGACACATTCCACGCCGTCGACCCCATTCAGCACCAGCACTACAGCCTCGCTCTGAGGCTGGCCGGTACAGATCTGCCCTCGGCTCTGGTGCCGTCCATCTCTGGCGTCAGGGACATCAGGCCCGAATGAGGCAGCGTTGACAGGGTCCGTATCGTCAGGATGACACGACATGGTTTGGTCCAAATCTCCACTCTCCGGCTGTACCGACCGAGCTCGTAGGACAACGGGTGACATGTGAATTGCTGCAGCCGTTGATACTGGCTGGATACAAATAGTCAGACTAGAGGGTCAAGAAGAATAGTGTCTCTGATTGGTGAAGAGAAGAGGGAAAATGTGTGCGTGTGTCTGGGTGTTTTTGTCCACTTGCGAGGCCACTGCAACATTTCATAAAAACGGATATGCCCAAAACTGGCCCGAGGCATTGGCGCATCTTCATCTGTCCTTAAACACTTGGAAACGGAGGGTAGCAGATCGACTAATCAAGTCGAGCTCAATATACCAACAAAAAGTGAAAATGAAGCCGCTCAGGCTCCTTTCTGTAGCTGGCACGGTAGTGAGTAGGCCATCTTTCCCTCGTCAGAGTAGATTTACCAAAAGAGTGTTTCAGAGGAGACTAGAAATGATTTTGGTATGTATCGTTTTGTCGAAGAAGACAGGTTGGCCACAATTCTGCACAAATCGAGAATAAAAAGAGGATTCAACGCTCAATAAGCTCACCTCTTGCTCCATTTTTCTGTTAATCGTTCCAATTTGCGAAGGGGTTGGCATCTAAAAATTACATGAAAGAGGAAGGGAATGGTACAAAGCAAGATTAGTAAAGAGACCATCTATACAAGTTTACGATTTCAAAGCTGTCATCTAAATACAGGAGTTGAGCTTACTTCCATTTGGAGTGGAAGTGTTAAGTGAAAAGCTTCGAAGATCATTTCCACCAGAAGACGACGGCGGATTCCTCTTGACCAGCTGTCAATTGGCTTTAGTGGAAGATTCATGCTGACGCTGTTTCCGAGGTAATCTCCTTCGATTCCAGCGAAAAGGTGCTAAGCTTTCGTCCGTCATATCACGGATATAATCACAACAAAATTCAAGCTAACAAGTCAAGAAAACTCATTGGCAAATCCCTAATAAGCTGTATATATACTCTACATCTGGCCTCTTTGATCAGGTATAAAGTGATTTGGA